GAGTTCAGCAGAGAACGTTCTGCGTTATTTAGCGCAGTATGAGAGAGGACCGGAGAGGACGGGAGAGCTCAGAGATGGGTCTCGGTGTGCATGTACCGAACTCCTCTCCTTTCCCGTGGTATCGTCTCAAGGGCAGCAGAAGGTCGCACTACACCTGTACAGTGTCAAGGAAGGAATCGCCGCCACCTCAATGGAGGCCTCCTGCTCGCGGCGCGCCGCCCTGCTTTTGTTTTCAGTCTTCGACACGTACGTATGTCTATCCGTGTTTTTTCCTGGCGTCTCTCGCTCCTGCCTGTGTGAAGCCGCCGCACAACAGAGGTGCGGGTGCACCGGTAAATGTTTGTGTTGCAGTGGAGGACCCTCAATAACGCCGGTATCTGCCCGGCGCATCGACTAGCGCCATCCAGAGGGATCGGCGTTATTCAATGTAGAGAATGACGTGGCGATTCAGTCTGCGCCCAGGAATTTCACCGGCGTATAGGGCCACCGGCGCTAATCAACCGGCGTTATTGCCGCCCGCCCTATAGTATCCCTTACATAATTCGTAGCTTGTATCTGACGCCCCGATTTCTTTCGGGTTTGCTGCTGGTGGAATGCACCTTACCCCGCGGAGAGATACGCAGGCGTTGTGCCTGGTTTTGGGCTCGATCACATTGGCTGTGAGCAAGACCACGTGTTGGGGGTAAGAATAGCAAAATTAGCGTATCAGGGATCATGTTCGGGATCTGATGGATGACGAAAAGGAAGATGCTCGAGCGCCACCCGTGTTGCAAGTCCCACAAAAGCAAAAAAAAATATGACAAAGGGGCTCCGCAGATTGTACCATTGCAAGACTGGTACCCTATTCTCTGTCCCGAAGAATCCTGGCACTCACAGCACAGAGATCACCACTTTCGGTCCCAGCGTTCTCTGCACCCACGCCCTGGACCAACGCCAAATTGCCGGAGAATAGGGAGAAGGTCACATAGAAACACGGTGAGCGCTTGTTGTGTCCATATTTTGCTCGTAGTTTGAGAAATAATGATTGCTGTGGGTAGGAATCTTTTTTCACCCTGGCCAAATTGCGGCAGCACTGCCGGGCAAGAGCGTCATCTTCAGACGCTTATACACCTGTTAAAGACCTCACAAAATCGGCTGGTACTTGCGGATACGTGGAGGTATACAACCAAAGAAGTCACATGGGGTTGGCCATATTTTGGATCGCCACTATTGACGCCGTGGTCAAGCAAGAATTGGGTGCCTTCTCATGTCGCGAATCATAGGAAAATTCCGCCGCATCACGCTGGTGCATCATAGCATGCCTCTCCCACTGCTGGCGGAGTGCTGAGGGGTTGAGCGCTGAAGCTAGTTGGTTCCGACGACAACAGCGAGTACGGTGGTGTGTTCAATGTGTAGCAAAGCTTTCGGTGCTGGCTACAAGGGTATAGCTCATCTACGGCGCATGAACTGCAACCTCCTGTCCTACCCTTGTCGTCAGGAAATTTCGCAATCGGCCGGATGCTTTCCATTTGGTGTGGCCGACATCTGCAGCGCGTGCCAGCGTGAGGATGATGGCTCGGGCCTCCGCCAGCCAAGAAGCAGGGTTACGGACATAATCGAAGACTTTACCAACGAAGGCTGTCTCTCTGACAAGTTCCCAAAGTTAGCTTTGTCGACCGACCATCCATTTCTCCTTTGCAAGCGTGCGGGTTGCTTGCTGGATCTCTTCGTGAAACAAGAAGAAGCCGAAAGAGCCGCCATCAGATCGTCGACCAGGCGATTGTCCTCTTCATCTAATCGGAAACGGAAAGTCGCTTCCCACATTCCTGAACCGGCCAAGCATTTGAAACGGCGGCCTCTTGACCGCTATTGCACGTCGCCCGAGGCAGTTACGGCGTTGCTTGCGGAGGTAGAAATCAAAGGGCTGGTGCTAGACATGTGCGGCGGCCCTGCTGACGCGGTCGCCACCATCCTGAAGTCTACATGCTCTGTCGTGACTAACGACATCCGGAATAGGTGAGGAGCGGTAACTCCCCTTGACTGCTTGCTGTTTTTCTTTCTTCCCGACCCTCCTCAATAATATGCACGGAGTTAAAATTGCATCGTTTCCCTCTTCATGTGTTTTCCACATTCTTGACGAATCGGTTGAGCGAAAATATCCTGAGCGCACGTCCATCAAGGACAGCTATTTCTGAAACGCCATGTATCGCCCCGTTCGCCACCTCGATTTTACCACCCAAGTTCCGCGGCAGACATCAAGCTGGATGCCAGTGCCCCGATGTTCGACATGGATTACCTCTCCAGGCGTCCAGACTGGGTTGTCACCAGCCCCCCTTACAAAGGAGCAATCAAATATGTCAAGGCGGCGATGGCGGTAGCTGAAAAAGGCGTGGCCCTGAAGTTGCCGTTGTCTTTCATGGAGCCTTGTGGGGATCGGGGTGTGTGGCTTCAGAAAAACCCGCCCTCCGCGTGCATTTTCTTGAGGAGGGCAACGTACACGCCGGCACACATCATGATGGGGGAAGTTTGGGGAGTGTGGCGTAAGAATGAATCGCGTGAAGTTCCGACGAGGCTTGTCTTTCGCCCCTGAGAGTTGCCCGCGTTACTCGATGCGAGCGGCTTTCATTTGAGTAGGTGTAGTATTTGAATACGCCCTTTGAGTTATTGGTTGGAGTGGCGGTAAGCTTGAGAGGGGTTTCCCGGGCAATATTCCAGGCCGCCCTTCTAGGGACGTTGTATATGCATGTCCTAGCTTGACTATTCATGCGGGTGTACCGCCTGTCAGTGTTTTTTTTCTCAGGTCTTGGATAGATGTTGCCAGGCTCTGTTTTGAGACGTTGTGTTGGGGTTGTTGTTTAGCTAAAAAATGTTTGAACACCGGCCGAACCTCCACTTGTTTTTTGCTCTACAAAACACCACACACACCACGCAGCATGTTCTACATACACAAAAAACAAAAAATCACTTGTGCCCAAACCTGAACGATGATCAATTGCACCCCCCTCCCCCCCCTAACGCCTGGTCACGCAAAATAGGGTGTTCGACATCGGCATCGCATTGGAAAAAAATCAGCCATCCTACTCCTCAAGGAAAGAATACAAATCAAAATCTTCTTGCGTGCGCCCACAGGCCGTCAACACGTCTTCGCTTTCCTCCTCCATTTCTTCAAGACTATCATCATCGCCATGCGCAGCGTCACTATCCCCCTGCTCCGACTCGTCATCCATACCATCTGTCAACGTTCCTTGTCCGGACATTTCGCGTATACGCTCTACACTAGACCTTTGCCCGGACGTGTCATCTTCCGGACTCTCCGCCCCGTGGCCATCAGGCGCATCATCTCCCCCACTTGCTATTACGTTTTTTGGCCCGCCCTTTCCACAAGAGAAACCGCAGTTGCACATTGGCGAGCAAAGACCTAACCCCACCTTAGTGCAGACACAACGATGACATTTTTTGGCTCCTTTGGCGGGTTTATTCGGAGAACACTTACACTTGACAACAGCGATACCCTGGCCCGGTTTCACAGTGACCCACGGCGAACGGCGTAGGTGCATCAAGGCGCGTCCATCTACCTTGTCCTTGATATATCCCTTTCCATCCCAATCTGGGACAGGTATGGGATATTCCCTCTCGTCCATCTGAGTTGACAACCAGTATCTCGTTGTCCACACCATTCGTTTAACTTGGAGATCCATCACATCGTACTCGGGCGCTTGATTTTGCCACTGAGCTCTCTTGAAGTGCGAAACGTGGGTCCACTGAACAAGGTGGTCTATCCATGGCTCCAACTCGTCAGGGTGCCCATCCCGCTTCGGATCGTTTACCTGCCGACCCGGAAGTGCGGGGTCGAACAGCCTCTTGTTCTTTACGAAATATGCTAACCCAATAAAATTTATGCACTCGCCCTCATCAAATCGCAACCTTCGCCCCCCACTACAGATACGCTACCAAGCGGTTTGACAAAGTTGTGCACCTGTGGGTTCTGCAACGTGCTAAAATAGCTGTTGAACATCGAATGTGACGTCAACGAGTGCAGAGTGGGCGAAAAGTCGGTACCACCCACGCCGTAGGCGGCAACCACCGGTAAGCACCGTTGGGCCGGTGTGAAACTAGCCGGCCAGTCCAATCCCGTAATGCCGTTGAAAAGGTCCAGCGTATCAATGTGAGGAACAGACTCACCCGGGTGCCCAAACCCCCGCTACTGCCGCACGATGATGCGAACGTTGCGTGTCCATTCATGCACGGCATACCCCAGGAGCACCGCCACCCACACGTCGGTGTCTACCGACATGATCTACACCGTGTAGGCTCCCCTGTTTTCCTCGGGTTCAGAGCGCAGTCGGCGTGAAGCTTGCCAGGCATGGTGCAACGCCTGAAGTTCCCCTTCCCCAATGCCGTTCTCCTTATCCTCGGAGATGCTGGCATCTTCGTTGGTGTGCCACGATTGATACCTGAGGTGGGATATGGATTGATATTCCAGGATGAGGTTTGACGGTCCTTCCCCCTCAAAATGCAAGTCGGTTTCAAATGGAAAGCAAAACTACACACATTTGGAAACTGCGTGGTCTGCTGCCCTACGAATTATAAGCCGTACGACTACGACCCCATGACGGAGGCAGACTCACCCTAACGTGTGGTTGGTTGACTAATACCGCTTGTTCCACTTTCCGCCAACCGGCGAAACTGAAGCGGCTGCAGCACAACAACACGGCCAAAGCACGTATTGGGATTCAGGTTAGTGTTGTTTGCCGGGTACTGCCTCAGAATTCCCCCGCACGACTCACATGTGCACACATCCGAAACTCTGCAAGATGGCCTGGGTGACACACCCGTACTTTCGAGCTATATATCCGCGTCTTCCCAATTATAATTATTCCCCAGGACTCCGTCTCCGCGTGTCGGTAACAATTCCTTACCTGGGTGAAACACCCGTACTTTCAAGCCAAGCACCTCCGCTGCCCATGGTATGACCGCCTGCTGGCTATACTTGAAAGGACCGCAGTTGTTCCTGACAGCACAGAGGTAGTACATGCGGGCCACGTCCGGCGATATGTTCTCCGTCCACTCACGACCTGCAAGCTTAAGCACCATGTCGTGTTCCTTTAAATCGAAGAGGTCGGGAGAACGGTACTCGGCAAGGTACCCGTCACGGCTCAGGAACTCGGGGCTCTTCAGCAGCGCCATCCGCATGGCTGCTGTACGGAGGGCAAGCGCAGCACCCCCGGTGGAACACCGTTCGCTGAGCGCCCCGGAAGCAAGGGCGATCCAAACACAAGCGCCCAACCCGTCGTTTGCAACGGGAATCCCCACCTGCCCACCATCGGATGTCGCAGCCCCTTCCAAGCACCGACTGGCAAGTTCATCGGTGTCCTCAGGAAGGTTGAAACATCCCGTATCACCCTACATAATCATCGGGGGTGGTTTCGTGGCGGAAAAAAAATATGTCCAGGAGCACACGGCTGGCTGTGGTTTCATGTTTTTCGACTGGCATTCCTACCTCACCAGAGAAAAAAAACGCTGCAGAGAACAGCCCCCTTTCCGATGCTTCGTACGGGCGTACAAGGGATTATGTTTTTTGCCAATGGGAGGGGACGTGCTACGTCGGTTCCTGCTTTCGTGCTAAAACATGAAGGATCGCGCCCTTGCCCATAAAAAACTGCATTCCAACATTATTTTCCCTGGCGGGGCTCACCTGTCGGATGGGGTTTATCTTGAATCCGGCAAAGGGATCGAGCAAACCGGCAGCCATAGAAACTAGGTGTCGGACCTCTGCCTCAGTCACGCCTTTTTCCCACGCGCGTTCACCACTTCTCTTCGCAAATAAATCATCGATGGCGTCTTTGATCCTGGCCAACATCTCCGTATTGCGTTTGTCCGCGGCCTTCTCGGACACGCCATCAACAGTGGACTTACGAGGACCTTCGACCGAACAGCCTTGTTTGGCGTTCTTCCCACAATTTCCTCCCCTCCTGCGTCAGTGACACACGGCACACACGTTCAGTATACGCTTCAACACAAATGCTCCTGTGTTTGTTTTTGGTTTTGCTCCGCTTGCCTGTTGGTGTGTGTTTTTTTCATGTCCAGTGCGCCTACTCTTTTTGTACACGGGTCGCTGCGGCGGTGTCCTTCTTTGCAAAAAACAAGGAGGGTCGCATTAATACATTACAACTGCAAATATACGTCCTGCTGCTACCAATTGATGAACGTGTACCTGTGTCCTACATTAGCCCGGGAATGTGTCGTCACATGAGGAAACAAGCGTCCAAATTTCAAATTTTCAAACGGTTTGGGGACCGAGTCAATAATTTTTGTCGGCCGCGGCAGAAGGATCTTGTCGCTACACCATCGCGCGGGAGTGGAGTGAGTACGATTTCCTTACAGCACATGCACACATACGGTGACGCTGTGCTGGTAGAAATCGCGAACAAGCGCGGGTGTGCTGCCGCGGCGTACACGGTAGCTGCTGCTGCTGCTGCTGTTGACAATCAATCCTCGTGTGAATACGAAATCTGCTGTTTTCCGCCGTGTTGTCCTCCTGCTTACTGCTGAAACTCCTCACTCTACAGCTCACATTGCGGCAGGGCAGTGAACCGATGAAGGCTGGATCCGCTGTGCCTCAGCTGGCTCTCCAGGCAGCCCTTTCTCTCTCTCCCTTGAAGCAAGATGCGGAGCAGACGAGCTCGACTCTACGGAAGATAACACCCTCCCAGCAAACTTCAGCGTTTTATACACCTCCAAAAAACGATTCGTCCCAGACTTAAGATGGTACCACGCTGTAGAGACTTGCCTAAGGTTTCGTTCAAGGGTTGGCCATATTTTGGATCGCCACTACAGCCGGAGTTGTTGACGAAGAACGGGCGGTCCCATAGGAATCCGGCCGCTGTGGGGGCTCCGCGTGATCGATGCCTTGTCGTATTAAAAAAAAAAAAATCGTTTTTTGTGAGGACTTGCAACACGGGTGTTTTTGCAGACCTTGCGGTCTAATGGGGAGGGGGGGGGGTAAGGGCTCGACTGCGTTTTTTGCCGTCCAAGGCAAATTTACATTGTAGACGGTACAGCCGTACAACAAATACATGCAAAGTATAGCGTAACGAAAAACAAAAGTTTCGCGACCCTGCGGGAGTGCTGGCATGGGTTTGGGACCTCTCCCTGGCTGGGTTCGCCTTGACCTTTTCACTTTCCCCACTCAGCGCGGGCGAAAACATCAGGCTCCGGTTCGGGGATGACGCTGCGGTGCCCCGCCCTCCCCCTGGGCGACACCAGCGGCCTCGTTTGAGACAGGGGGGGACGGCGTATGTCGACGTAGCGTTTGTTCCATAGGGCGGCAGCCAAGCTGCAAGAGTCGTGCTGTGCGAGAACAGTCTTGACAGTGATCAGGCACCCTTCTCTTTCCCTCTATCTCTCTCTCTCTCTCTCTCTCTCTCTCTCTCTCTCTCTCTCTCTCTCTCTCCACCGCGAATAATACCAAGGGTGGGAAGCAAAAGCCGGCAACAGCAGTCTTACGAAACGAGACGGAGTCGACGTCTAGCCGACATCTTTCCACGCTAACACGGATTCCTGTGCATTCATGTAACAAGCTTTAAGACTCACCAACCAGATTCACAATCTCGATACAACTTCTTACAACCTTGGACGTTGCTGGGCGGTGAAGTCCCGCCGCCCGCTGGTCGGGGCAATGGAACTAACCGCGTGTTGTGCGCGCGCCCACGCACTCTCCCACACAGCCTCGTAAACCCTAGGACGTCGCCGGTGTTGTTGGCATCGAGCATCATCCTCACGTTCGCAAGGACTCCACTGACCTAAAAGAAACATGTCGGCCGCTCTACGAATCCAGGCGTAAAAACGACTCCTGGTTGGTTGCTATCATCAAATGACGGCTATTGCAACATTTCCGACCGCGCTCTATTGACTTTTCCCTCTATTCTTGATTTACATGCAACTAACCTACTTCTCCCTCTCCCGATCATCACTCTATTTCCCCTATTGCCCGACTG